GACTCTTATTGAAAAATAAAACAAAACAGGCAAAATTCCATGTTTAAGAAGAAGGAAACACGGGCTTCCCTGGTGGCGCAGTGATTGAGAGTCCGCCTGCCGATGCAGGGGACACGGGTTTGTGCCCCGGTCTGGGAAGATCCCACATGCTGCGGAGTGGCTAGACCTGTGAGCCATGGCCACTGGGCCTGCGCGTCCGGAGCCTGTGCTCCGCAACGGGAGAGGCCACAGCAGTGAGACGCCCGCGTATCACAAAAAAAAAAAAAAAAAAAAAATACTACCTAAGGGGCTTCCCTGGCAGTCCAGTGGTTAAGACTCCACGCTTCCTCAGGGGGCACGGGTTCCATCCCTGGTTGGGGAACTAAGATCCCACAGGCCGTGCAGTGAAAAATGAAAATACTACTTGAAAGAAAGCTGGTATAGCATTATTAATATTATTAATGTTAAGTGAAATATATATTAGGGCAAAAAAGCATTACAAAGGATGAAGGAAACGTTACACAATAATAAATTGAATTATCCACAAAGAAGATATAAATCATGAACTGAACATGTGTGCATAAAATATACAACACAACAAATATATATGTTTATGTATACAATATCAAGATAGGACATTTAAACACTTTTCAAACTGTAACTGATAGATAAGCTAGTAAGACTATAGAAGATTTGAATAACATAAGCAACTTGATTTCAAATATACATACATTTTATATTTTTATAAATATTAGAAGTTTAGATAAATTATGTAATGTGTATCTTGCACCTAACAAATAGAATTACACATATTATTCAAGTACACATGGAATATTTCCAAATATTGGCAGTGTCCTAGGATACAGAAGAAGTCTCATCAAATTTCAATGAATCAATAACTCAGACAGAAAAAGGCAAATACTGTATAATCTCACTTATATGTAGAATCTAAAAACAAAACACACAAAAAAATTTAAAAAATGAATTCACAGATACAGAGAGCAGATTGGTGGTTTCTAGAAGAGGGGGGAAGGTGTGGGGAGGGTGCACGAAACGGGTGCAGGTGGTCAAAAGGCACAAACTTCCATTTATAAAATAAGTAAGTCATGGGGACATAACATTCAGCATGATGACTGTAGTTTAAAATATCATGACATATATTTGAAAGTTGCTAAGAGAATAGATCTTAAAAGTTCTCATCACAAGAAAAAAATTTGTAAATATGTGTGGTGATGGATGTTAGCTAGATTTATTGTGGTGATCATTTCACAATACATACAAACGTTGAATCATTTTGTTGAACACCTGAAACTAATATAATCTTATATGTCAATCATATTTCAATTTAAAAAGTCAATGAATCAGATTTATATAGACCATGATCTCTAATCACAATGTCATTAAATTAGAAATCAATAGTAAAAGATGATGAAAAGTATTGTATATATATATATTCAAACTATAGTTGTATTTTTATTTTTTTATTTTATTTATTTTACTTTTTTGGCGGTACGCGGGCTTCTCACTGTTGTGGCCTCTCCCATTGCGGAGCACAGGCTCCGGACGCGGAGGCTCATCGTCCATGGCTCACGGGCCCAGCCGCTCCGCGGCATGTGGGATCCTCCCGGATCGGGGCACGAACCCGTGTCCCCTGCATCGGCAGGCGGACTCTCAACCACTGCGCCACCAGGGAAGCCCTGAAGTTGTTGTATTTTTAAATGACAAATGAACTCAAGACATAATCTCAATCAATTTCTAGCCAAACAACCACAAAAGCAGGAGATTCCAAAATTTAAGGGAATCAGCCAAAATATTTAAGGTAAATCTTAGCCTTCAGTTTATTTAGTAGCAGGAAACATTTACATAAAGTATATTATAGTAGGCAGTGCTGTACTTCCAGTTCTCCGCTGCATACTCCTATTGCTTTGAAGTTATATGTAACCACGTGACTTGCTTTGGTCAATGAAGTGTGAGTAGAAGGAATTTTTGCCACTTTCACGCAGGAGCTTTATGAGCTAGTATGCAGTTGTCCAGGTCCTTTGTTCTTACCTTGGCAATGATAGAAGCATGGAGATGGAGCCTACCTTAGCCCAGGTACCTGAGTAAGGACGACAGTCTTCTGACCCCCACCCTGGCTCTCTTCCTGTGTGTCCACATGTACAATGCAACAGCATCCTAGGGACAGGCTGCCACCATCTCAAGTTAGGTTTCCACAGTTATTCTCTGGATTTCTGTCTTCTACAAGCTGAATTAGTTTAGGTCTTTCTTCTTTGAAGCTGCGTTTGTAATCTGTTGGTCTCATCACCTACTGAACCTGATCTTTTAAAATTATGTTTTATTGTTCGTTGTTTTCTCTGTTCCCAGGTTTTTAGTAGCATGTGGGAGCTTTCAGACAAGTGTTTTCCATGGACTAATAAAAAGTGCTTACAATTACTGTCAAATAAAGCCTGGAGTCTGAAAACAGAGGCTTTAAACTGGTTATAAAGCTGGAAAACTGTCCAGTAGTTAATTTCCCCCATCCTACCCATTTGCTATTCTTTAGTTCTCAGAGTAAATTCACCTCTGAGATTTTTTACATTTTGTTTTGATGAAGGCAACCATGCCTTTAATAAAGTATTTTCTGTTAATCTACACTTCCTTTCTGAAACTGAACAAACAAAAAATATTCCTGAAGATAAGAAGTAAGAACATATCTGTAATCTTAGTGACACAATCTTTCAGTCACATGATTATAATCATTGTCTCTGTGCAGGATCTAGGATGAGCAAAATAGTATAGTTGAAACACAGATAACCCCGTTATGATATAATCATTACTATTTTCTGAAAGCTCATTATGTGCACAGACCATGGTTAGGCACTCACTGGACGTTTGTTTTGAGTAAACCTGCTGCAACTTCTTTGAGGCTGGCTTATAATTTCTAGAATGTGATGATTTGCCCAAGAGAATGCTGCACTATTTCCTGTGAGCTGCCTTCCACTGCCTTTTACTTAGATTCCCATCATGTCCTTGCAGCTATGGGAGTAAGTCGGAGAACTAAAATGACCCACTGTGATAGGAGGACTTCTAACCCTGCTGTGTCAGACTTTCAAATGATTTCTGACTGGTTTGTAACACTTCAGTGTGATCACAATTTTTTGCAAGGAAGATTTTTGTAAGAGCTCTGGAAATTATCAAAGAAAAAAGAGCTCTTTTGAATGAAAGAAAAACTCTACCACACTGACTTTTATGATGAGAGAAACATTTGAGGAAAACAAGAAAATAGATTGTTCGAACTCCAAAGGCTTTCAAAAGCTCTAGAGTAGACATCCAGTGTGATGGTAATATAAAGTACCAATTTTTGCCAGCAAGACTCAAGTCATACCAGATTCATTTTTCTCTTATAAAGTTAAAAAATTGGGGGAAAATTGTAAAGATGCTTATTTTTCAAGGTTTACGTATGTTATTTTTTTCAACGTTTAAGTAATCTTACATACTTTCTTTCAAAAAGAGCAACTTGTTCAAAAATGTCTATTTGTTTTAGTTTAAAAAGTTTCAGATTTTGAAATAAGTTTCTGAACTTCAAAAAAATTTATTTTTATACTTTTGAAATTTTAAATACATCCAAGATCATCATGGGATCTGTTTAGATCCAACATAGGCTGTGACTTGGTTCCTTCTGAGTATTCTTAAGAGTGGTATTGACATTTGAAGAATCCAAATGGCTAGAAATACAAAACAAAGCAGTGATAGTTTATGCTGTTTCGTCATCTGTGCAGAAATAAGCATTGAATGAATAGCCTTTGTACTGTCAGAAATGTTGTACCAGCACCAGCAACTTTGTTGATCTTGGAAACCTACTGTTTTCTGATCTGTGCTTGGTGACTTTTTAAGTTCCAGTAATATTTGCTTGTTAATGAATCAGACTTTGTTCAAGGCATTCTTGGCTATTGAGTTTGCATAAGTCAATAGTTTTTATTGATAAACCGTTAAGACCAGAGCAGGGTATTTTGCTAGGTGCTGCCCAAGATCAGAAAAGAGATACTGCAATGAATGAGCTGGGGCTGCCTAGCTTTCAATTCCTGCCTCTGCCACTTCCGGGCTAGGTAACTTTGGGCAGATTGTGTGACTTCCTATGCCTCAGTTTCCTCATTTATAAAACAGGAGTAATTATAGAAACTACCTCAAAGGGCTGTTTGATGATTAAATGTGTTAATACAAGTAAAGGGCATAGAACAGTTGCTGGCATTTAATAAGTACCAATAGCTATTATTAAGGTAAATTTTTAAAGTTTCATTTTAATGAGCGTAGCACATGTGTGACCGATTCATAAAACAAAACAAATTGACCACAGGAGTAAACAGTATTGACTAGGAATTAGAGCTGGGTGCAGTGTCCTAGTTCTATTGTTGCTCTGATACATCCTATATTCTGTCTGATAAATGAATATCACAATACTCGCCCCAATGCCTCATAGCTTGATAAGGAGAACCAAATGAAATAATGTACTTTTTTAAAAAATTTACTATTTGAACCATTTTTTAAAATTAATTTATTTTTGGCTGCATTGGGTCTTCATTGCTGTGCACAGGTTTTCTCTAGTTGTGGCGAGCGGGGGCTACTCTTCGTCGTGCTGTGCCAGCTTCTCATTGCAGTGGCTTCTCTTGTTGCGGAGCACGGGCTCTAGGCACGTGGGCTTCAGTAGTTGTGGCGTGCAGGCTCAGCAGTTGTGGCTCACGGGCTCTAGAGCGCAGGCTCAGTAGTTGTGGTGCACGGGCTTAGTTGCTCTGCGCCATGTGGGATCTTCCCGGACCAGGGCTCGAACCCATGTCCCCTGCATTGGCAGGTGGATTCTTAACCACTGCACTACCAGGGAAGCCCCTAATATACACTTTCTATACGAAGTCCTCCGAAATTTTTTTTTTTTTTTTTGCGGTACGCGGGCCTCTCACTGCTGTGGCCTCTCCCGTTGCGGAGCACAGGCTCCGGACGCGTAGGCTCAGCGGCCATGGCTCATGGGCCCAGCCGCTCCACGGTATGTGGGATCCTCCCGTGGCGGGGCACGAACCCGCGTCTCCTGCATCGGCAGGCGGACTCTCAACCACTGCGCCACCAGGGGAGCCCCTCCGAAAATTTTTAGCCAGAATTAATTGTTCCTTCTTGGGCACTCCCTAAGCTGTTGACTTGTATTTTCGTCATGACACTTAGCACAATGTCTTGAACGATAATCAACTGTTTATATGCTTTTTTCTCCAACTAGATAAGGTCTTGGTGGTGGAGAAATTGTCTTACTCACTTCTAAAAAGCCATCTAGCATTGTGACGAACATAATAGACATGTAATAAGTGTTTGTTAAAAAGGGTTCTGACAAGGATACCTTGCCAAGTCAGCAGAATTATTATTATTATTATTATAACTACTCCAATATGTGCCTTTACAGGGCATAATTACATGGGTTGTTGGCATGAATTCGAGTAGAGCTGGGTGGGGTTTGAACGGAGCAACCCACACAGGGACTTATTTACATAAATTCTGGCTTCATATATTTTTGTTTTCTCTTTGCATTATTCCCTTACACTAAAATCCACACATTAATGCAGCAAGCATTCTTATAGCTTTTAATTGGGTCAGATGTGAATTATTATGGAGTCTGCAAAAAGCCTTCTAATCCTCCCATGTTGTTACCATATGACAAATGAGGCTTATAGAAGTAACTGATTAGGTTCTTGTCTAAATTTCAGCTAGAACTTGGGATTTATTTATCCATGTATTCTAAAAATCATTTCAATGTGTTTTTGCTATGTGCTAGACACTTGCTGGGCACTGGACAAAGGTAGTGGGGATACACAGTATTCAAGACAAGTATTCTGTATGGATAAACAGGAATCTAAACTAAGAGGCCAAAGGAAAAAACAAAACAAAAACAAAGCCAAACAAACAAAAACAAACGCTGTGGTTCCTCTGAATGAATTTGGAAACAGAGCTGGGGATCTTTGATCCTAGTTTAACACACTAGTGATTTTTTCTTTTTGTGGTAATTGGATCTATCAACTTGAATGAAGGTAGTGGTCATATTAGGGTATGTCTATTGCAGTGATGGAAAATCTGCATTTAAAACATATGGGGCTTACTCTTAAGAGGAATTTCACTCTAAGACAAAGGGATAAAGAGAAGAGTGGTTGGGCCACAAGAAACTGTGCTAAGAATTATTGTCATTTTCAAGACTGAGCTTGGGCAAGTAACCTAACCTTGTTAGCTTAACTGTAAAACTGGGATAATAACAGACTGTTCCTAGATTTCCTTGGAGAATTAGATTTACAAACTCAGGAAGAAACTATGCTGTCTTTCCAATTTTGTGGATGGATCAATTTGACGTCCATAGAGACTATTAGAGGTATATGCGAAAAATACAAATCAATTACTTTCTCTCTTGAAATTCACTAGAGTGACCCAGAGACCATAGTTCTGGAGTGTAAGGAATGAGGGGCACCAGAGAAATATGTATTTCTTTATCTGATTTTGTATGTGTGATATATGGATATTTCTCATCAATTTATGGTGTTTCAAATGTATCCTTAAAGCATAAATTTTTTAATGAGACATACATTTTTATTTTCCATATCTTCTTTGTAAACCTCTGAAATCACCTCATGTATTTCATTTAAAGCAAAAATATTTTAAAATTGAGAAGCTATGCATGCAATTTCTTTCAAAACACAAAGCTTACAAATTTGCATCAAAATAAAAAATCAAGACTGCTTAATTGAAACCTTGACACCATCAACCTCTTTAATTATGTGTTAAAGAGACAGGCATCCTGGGGATACCAACTTAAAATCAGGGTACATTTTGAGGGTTTCTGTTGTGTGTACATATGTAATTCACGGAAGGGGAAAAAAGAGGTGCTGACATAGAAAAGAAAGAGATGATATAAAATTTCTCTAGATGTGAATCCTTTCACAGGTTAAAAACAGTTAGGAAGAGGGCAAATTTGTCTTTTCAGAAGAAGAACACAGAATAGAAATTTAGGACAAAATGTTTCACCTCTTTGCTAGGTCTAAATTTCAGTGAATGCTCTCTTTTGAAACAACAAAGATTTTTTACAATACTAATTGTTACTTAGAAAACACAGTTCTAAGGCTTGACTACTGGTTGCTTGGATGTATTCTACAGACCATACTGAGTAAACGGAGGAGAAGAAGGATGTTTATTATAAATTTCGCAGTAAAATGACTGCTTTTCTTTACATCTTAATTCTTGTTGTCTTCGCTCTTCTGTGCCTATTCCCGATTTCTTTTGCTAATGTGGAACCCAGCAGCTCTTTGTTCTCATTGTGTCTGTTGTCTCCCTTTCTTTGTGTTGCAGGGATACTGCTACCCACATCTGCCACTGAGCATGCGGAAAATCCTTCAATAGATTCTTTACTTAGGACTTTCAGTAGTATTACTCCACTTCTCCAGGTTTTAGTAATAACCAGTATATCTAGAAGATAGACTGAAACTTGGAAAGGTGATGGGTGATACAGGTGGTTAGGTGGTGGTCTAGCAAGCTGGGACACCAGATAGGAAGGCTCAGGGTAGTTATCACACATATTTATCCAATTTACGGAAGATCTCACCAAGCTAGTTAAATGCAGATCACTCACCCTACACACAGAAGTTGGAGATATAGATTGACAACTGACAAGACACAAGTGTTTCTGAGCAGGAAGCCACAGAGCTGTATCTAAAACCAACGGATACAATAACCAGTTCCAGAGGGATGTGGTACATTGACACAAAGATTGGTATGTAAAGTCCCAGAGCAGGGACCTTCACTAGATAGTATATCATCTGAGGATGAGAACCAGTTGTGTGGAAGTTTCTCATAATAAAATCTCAGACTTTTCTCTGTGTTGAACACCCCAAAATGCTACATCAATATCAATTGAATGAAAAGACTCAATTCTTCTGCTTAAGCCACCCCTCACCCCGCTTTTACAAGCAGATCTACCAATAATTTCCAGAAGGTGTAAGAAAGGGCAAGTTTGCAGGTGCGATTCGGGGTATTGGGGTCGAGCTCTGAGGTTTTCTCTTTTTCTTCCCCAACCTCACGCCAGCAAGTCTGACCTAATAGCTTGTAAATTATTTAACAGATGGAACACCATTCAACTTTACTCATGTTTCTCCCGTAATGACTTTTGCCTGTTTTGTTCACTTGAATGCATGGCCAGCTCTTCGAATGGTATCTGGCACAGAGTTAAGTGCTCAAAGATCTTTTGTTTAATGAATGTATATAGTATAAAAATGTTTTTCTTTTATTGCGGCAAACATTGGTGGTAATACAATAGTTCAAACCGGACAGTTTTAGAAAAAACTGAACACCTGGCTCTTTAGTGGGGGGAAGGCCACTCTCCCCCCTCTTAGTGAGAGGGAGATTTTCTTTCTCCTCGTCCTCTTCTCTCCCACCATTTTGTTTTTGTATTACCAATCAAGGGATTAATAGCATCACCTCAAAGCCTTTCCGTTCCACGTTTTTACTTTTTGGTTCTTAAGATACCGTTTCCCGGTCCTTTGGTTTTCTATAGGTTTAACTAGCTAGCGGCTGGTAGACGATACGGTTAAGTCCAAGTGCTCTTGTAAGGTAGCGAACCGGCGGGCAAACGCTGCCCTCCTGCAGCGCAGGCACCTGCTGCGGCTGCTTTTTCTAGAACCCCGCCCCTAGCGCCGAAGTCAGCTCAGTTGGCTCCCTCCCCCGCGGCGGGAGGAAGTGCCGGTGGCGGGAAAGTTCGGGCCAGGTCCAATCAGGCACCTGGGATTGGGTAGCGCGGCCGGGGGCGGTGGCCCCCGGACCCCAGCCCGCGCTCCCGGCCCCGCCCCTCGGGAACGCCTCGCCCCCCGGCTGGTCCGATACCCCCGCCCCGCCCACCCGGCGCCCGCGCCCCGCCCCGCCCGGGGGCCGCGGCTAAAACCCGGAGCCGCAGCAGCGCCCAAGGGACTGGAGGGAGGCTCTGAGCATGTGCAGAGCAGCGCGGTGGCGGCTGCCTCGGCGAGAGGCAGCGGCCCGGTGCTGATGCGAACAGCCGCCTCGGTCTCTGCCCCAGCGTAGTCGGCCCCCGGGCCGGGGCGGCAGGGAAGGAACCGTAGCCTCCCCGCGGCCCGAGGAGCCGGCGCGTCGGCGCGTACCCCGCCCCTCCCCACCCCCGGCGGCCGCGGCGCCCTCGGGGACCACGATGATGGCGGAGCAGGTGAAATGCGCCTCGGCGGGGGGCGGCTCCGGAGCGGGCTCCGGGCCGGTGGTGAACGCGGAGCTGGAGGTGAAGAAGCTGCAGGAGCTGGTGCGCAAGCTAGAGAAGCAGAACGAGCAGCTGCGGAGCCGGGCGGCCAGCGCGGCCGCCGCACCGCACCTGCTGCTGCTGCCGCCGCCGCCCCCCGCCGCGCCGCCCCCCGCTGGGGCCTGCAGCCCGTTGGCTCCGCGGAGCCCCCCGGCCGCCGCTGCCGCCGCCTCGGGGGGACTGGGGCTGGGGCTGGCGTTGGGCGCTGGGGGCGGAGGCGGGGGCGGCAGCGGTGGCTCTGGCCCCGCGTTCCCGGGGACCTACTGCCTGCCCGGCCCGGCGCCTTCCCTGCTCTGCAGCCTGGCGCAGCCCCCCGAGGCACCCTTCGTCTACTTCAAGCCGGCGGCGGGCTTCTTCGGCGGGGGCGGCTGCGGCCCGGAGCCGGGGGGCGCGGGGACACCTCCCGGGGCCGCCGCCGCGCCGCCCTCGCCGCCCCCCACGCTGCTGGACGAGGTGGAGCCGCTGGACCTGGAGAGCGTGGCCGCCTGGCGGGACGAGGACGACTGCACCTGGTATTGCCGAGCTCTGCTCCCTCCCTCGGGGCCCTCGCCTGCGACGCCCGGGGAGGGCGAGGGCTGGAAGGAAGAGGGGGACCTCAGCCACTGCCCCCAGACGGGGTGACCTGGCAGGTGCCGAGCCGGGCGATGAGCGGAGGCTGTTCACCAGGGTGGAAACCTATTCTGTTACAGCTCAGGCCGACCCATCTGGGGATGAACTGGTCTTTTTCCTCTCCTGTGTTGTCGTCTTTGCTGATGATTGGGTGCCACGCTCCTCGTTAGCATTAACTGCAAAATCCATGCTATCTTGTCTTTTTGTCACTCAGTCGTGTTCTTTTTCCTCAGTCTTTTTTGGGAGTGACGGGGGATGGGTAGGGGTTGGCCTCCATCTGCGACTGTTACTGTTTTGTCCTCCCAAACCAAGGCCGGACTGGATTTGCGTGCTGTCCCTACCTCCTCGGCACCCCAGGGCGCCTAGTGATGCATGGAGGAGTGATGAATCTCTCCTTAAGAGATTCGTTCTTACTGTTTGAGTTGTTCAGTGGTTTGTCCTCATTCGCTGCATCTTCTTTGATAGCTTCTCGCTTCAGAAACAGGCTTGCTTTTTCCAGTGTGCTGACCTCACTGGCTTTCCCATCAGTAACGGCGTAAAAAAAAAATGAAGGCTTTTCGGGGAATGGAGTGAGCAGCTTGAAGGCACTCTGTTACCTAGCACCCAAGGAACTTGCTTTAATTTAAAAAATTAAACTGGTGATTGAAGAAAAGTGAGATTAGAGAAACTTTTTTTTTATTTTTTAGAAACTTGAAGTTGGTTATCAGAAACCTTGAGGCTGGCAGCATTTATTCAGTTGAAATCTGGTTAGCTCTGTCTGCTTTCCTTCAGTGAGTACCTTGCGGGGGCGGGGGAGGGAAGAGGGGTGTTCTGATTCCTTTATTTGTTTTTAATGGTGCTTGCTCATAGGGTAGTAGTCACTTCATGACTTCTTTTGGTTGGTTCGCATGTTTTCCTCAGTCGTTAGAGGTAGTGTGATGTGGTCAGATGAATAGAAGCTTCAAATCAGGTGGGACTTAGGTTCACGCAGGGAGAATGAACAGCATTCACCTGTACGTAGCAGTAGCATGAAGAGTAATTGTAGTTCTTTTAATCTTAGGTCCTCTTCCTGTTTTCCAAGCTGGGTCTTCCTCACTTTCTTTGTGTTTATGTTGAGTGATTGCACAGGAGGGAATGGGAGATGGAGAACCTTGCTGGTTTCCCATTAGGAACTGTGGTGGTCCTTTTCTCTTGCACTTTTTTATGTTGAGAACTCTAACTGTAAAGTACATTAATTGGTTTGATTCTGAGAATCAAAATACAGGGAGCTATAATAAGGCATAGTCATCCTTCTGCTTAGTACTTTTTGGCAACTGGGCAGGTAACTCAGGTTGTAAAAATCAAAACAACTCGCCACTTTCTGGAACTTTAAGCCATTCTTTAGAAGCTGCACCTTTATTTTTGTAAAGTCCAGGCTGTGTTGTAATCTCAGATTCAGCCTGAATATGGTACCAGAAAATGCTCTCATGATGGTGCTTAGGTTGTTACTAATAACTGTAAGCCCTTATGCCACTTTCAAATTATTTTAGATTGATTTAGTCCCCACTTGGCCTTTTCTGGAGATATGGACGTAAGTAATAGAAGGAAACTTGCTGTATTTTGGCTGAGGATCAATCCTGTGCTTTAAAGCTATTAGCACTTTAAAATTTATCATGATTCACTATTTTATATTAGATTTGTGCTAGTACATACACAGTGAATATAATTGTAATATTTTCTTTTATTAAATGGACTTCTACCATACTTAGTTATCCTCCAACTGTTGCTAGTATTTTGGTATCTTAGGCTTTCCTTTTGTAGTTATTTTTTGTTAAAACATCATTAAAATAACTAAAAGAAATCACCTACTTGGTGAGATTAGCCTAGTAGCGCTTCAGATGGTTTGAAGCAAATCTAACCAGGTTTGACTTGCAGCAGGTTCTACTAATTTCACTCATCAGGTATATCTGTGAATGACTAAATCAATGCCTTGACACCTTACAGATGTTTCTGTAGACAAATGGCACACAGTTTATACAGTATCTTCCTCAAAACAAAGCCAGGGTTAGAATCCCAGGTGGAAAAACAGGGAGGCATCATTAATCTTAGTGGGATGGACTTAAAATTTTTGTAAGGTCACCTGATTTATAGAAAACTTTCTATCAGAGTATTTTTATACATTGAGATATATTTGTATTGCAGTACTTGGCCTGTTTGTTCATCACCAGTCAACAGGGTTTAATTTTCAAAGCTAAACCCACTTGTTAATGCTTGCAGAACCTTCTGATGTTCCTTCATCACTGCAAACCGTGTGTCCCTGCCTGACGCTGTCGTCAATAGAGTGCTTTTCATTTGGCTTCCCTGATAATGTTTGCAGGAAGGCTACTTATTTTTATCTTCCCTGTTTATTAAGAAACAACTGAAGTGGATAATATGTACCTGATTATTTTAAATTATTTATAAATTATTTATAACTTTTTAAAACTTTATAAAGTGGATAATATGTACCTGATTATTTTAAATTATTTATAAATTTATAAGGTCACAAAAGTCTTCCGTCTTGTCCTCAATTTACTACTGTGACTCAGAGTGAACCCTGTTAACCTTCTGTAGATCCTTCAAGGTAAAAACATAGTTATACAAATCAATATGCAAATATATCCACATCAGTTTTTTTACACTTACCTTTCATTGGACACATCTTGGACATCTTTGTTTCCCTATAACAGTTGCATCATCGTTAACAGTAACTTGGTCCTTAATAATGTTACTTTAACTGTATTACCTACAATTTTTCATACATTTTTATCATGATTTCATCCTAATGGGTTAAACAATTAATAATTTATTTAGAATAGCACTTCCTGCTAAAATGTCAGATCCTTAGGAAAGGAAGTTCACAAATGTAGGTTAATCATTGACTATTTTAGAAGTTCTTTCATGTAAGTCTGTTTTTTCTAATACAATCTTAGAATGTATAGCCTGGACAGCACTTGGCTCAAGAGTTATGTGCGAAAGAAAAAAGTGAATAATAGAAGAGTATTTGCTTGATGATAGTTCATTAGTTAGTGAATGATCAGTCAGGTCTCATAGGCCATTTTTCCAAACAATTATTTAACCTGTAAGTTTCTTCTGTTTATTGAAAAAAAAACTTTGATGCAAGAAGAATGATGTATTCTGCTTTTTGTTTTGATGAAAAGCTTTGAAACAAAACAATTATTTCTTCAAATATTTATCTTAGTTGAATTTAAAGTATGTAATTTTGCCTTAATACAATCTGGTTATATTAGCACAGTGCTGCTAAAATTCAGTGTCTCAGAAAATTAAAGTTGACTGTGGTTTCAGAACCTTCATTCTTAAGTCCAATTATTATAATCCCATAGTAAACTTCACATCCTGCTGTATCAGTTCTTCCATTATCTTACTACTAATTTGACAGCCTTAGCTCTCCAGGAGACCATAGGCCAGAAAGTACAGGGGAGAAACCGAGTACCAGGAGCAAATTAAAAAAGTTCAGAAGCGCTAAAGTCCTGATGCATACGTGGCACATGGTGTGACTGGATGATTTGCCAGTCTGTACAGGAGGATGTTTTGAAGGTCTCTGTCCCAGTGTTACCAGGCTGAGAAGCACTAGGCTAAGAAGAACCAGGGTACAAGGAGAGGGAACCAGATTGGTATGAAGTGGCAATGGGAGCAGTAAATCATTAACTGCATACTAGACCTTTCTGTGACCTATTTCAGCTCCCTAATTTCAGTGTTAAGCGCCAAGGAGAAATAACTTATGTAAACTTCTTCAGTTATTTACTGAAAGAATTGACTAAAATTTAGACTTATTTATATGGATTCAGAAGTGTTTGCAACCATTGATGTTTTTTTCTCCAAGCATGGTTGTGACCCATTAATAGGTTATAAAGTCAGTTTAGTGGACCGACTCAGTATTATTTTTTATGAAGTTCTGTGGAATATAAAATCAGGACCAGAGTACATTGTATCTTATAATACAAATGTGTCTTGATTAAACTTATTTCAGTCTTATGTGTATATGTCCTGGGTTGAAATAGTTAATGCATTTGTGCATTATGGCTAAAGTTAGAATAACTCCAGTTTGTACTGTTCAAAGCAAAATGGACTTGGAGAAAACAGGTAGAAGAGCACGGCTCCCTGAAGATAGTGTAGTGCCGGGGTAGGTCAGAACCTGCTCACCTCAACCAGAAGACGAGTCTGTATTCAGACAATGCCAAGATTAAAACATGCCAACTGGTATAAAATACAGCTGTAAAAGGAGGCATTTATTTTTAAAAGAGATGTGGCAGGGACTTTAACTTGCCCAACTGGAAAGGACAGGAGAAATGTTCTCTTTTTTTTTTTAAACAACTTTATTGGAGTATAATTGCTTTACAATGGTGTGTTAGTTTCTGCTCTAGAACAAAGTGAATCAGCTATATGTATACATATATCCCCATATTGCCTCCCTCCCACCCTCCCTATCCCACCCCTCTAGGTGGTCACAAAGCACCAGCACCGAGCTGATCTTCCTGTGCTATGTGGCTGCTTCCCACTAGCTATCTGTTTTCCGCTTGGTAGTGTATATATTAGTCCATGCCATTCTAGGAGAAAATTTCTTAATGATACAAGGGGAAAATGGTGATATCTACAAATTAAGGAAAATTTAATGAATGAGATATTCATCTTCCATGTGTAACACCAAGACCCTGGACAGCTGGCTAAAGTCATTGCCAATTTTTCATCATAGCTGTTGAACACCTTGTACTATACATATGGCACAGCTAAATTAGACCACCTAGGCTGTTTTTTTGCATAATTGATTTTCAGTGGAAAGACCAGAGGGTGCTTCACTTTCTGACAGTGCTGATCGAAAATGCACAGTGTTTTCTAGGAGCAAGTGGAGTTGACTGAAGCCTATGCTGATGTGTCTTTCAAATGA